GGTCAGCGCTTTAGCCTGTTGTAGCTTCTGTCGAGGGATTTCCATCCTTCCGGTGACAGGCTTGCAATCAATGATTCTATCTGCGATTTTGAGTTCTCCCAAAACACCAGCAACGACCTTAGCACGCGTTCTGATATCGATACTTGAGTTGGGTAGCGCGATCTCGCCGAGGTTAAGGATTCCCTAGCCTTGGCGCTTCGTTGACTTGAGTCTAACAATGTCCAGTTGGTACTTTATGGCCTCATCAACTAATTCTTGCTCTTTCCCTCTGAGTGAGGATATATTCCAATTTCCGACTGTAAGCTCCTGCCTCCGGTGTCGTCGTTCTCGTGGACCCTTTTCTAACATGCTATAATGGACTCGCGCTGTTTTCTTCCTCCGTTCAGAACGGGTAGGGACTCCGATGCTAACTGGTATCTTCTTCGTCATTCCACCGGTTTTCTTGAGCCGTTGTTATCCTGCTACGACCGGGCTGTCAGGCGGCGATGAACAGGTTGTGATCGCCGAATTTTCTCAGTCTGCCTCAGTCCCGGAACTGCCTGCGTGGCCCTTGCTTACCCCGGGGAGTGACCGTGCCGATATAATTTTCTGTGGCGTCAATGAAATGAGTGGTAGGTGGAGCTTTAACGGAGACTTCGCCACGGTCTCCAATCGTCCTCCTCTCTCTACTGGTTTTGGGACCGGCAACGACTGAGTTGAGTTGTGAAAGTTTTTCTAAATCGGTTGTGATTTTAAAGGTTTTTCTACTGACGCTCTACTTTCCCATTTATTGCTGACTAATGATAATGGCGATGGTTGAACATGGCGGTATGAAACTTCTTTGAAGGCCATTCTTAAGGGACGAATTCCTTGTAGCATTTCTAGTAAGAACTCTGTTCAGCATCCTTCATTCATCTTTTTCAAACTCTGTAATGGAGGTTTCGTTTTATAATGTGTAACGTGTTGATGCTTCGGTGTATTCATAACAGCCTTGAGGAAGCAAGGAATTGTGGGTTGTTTTAATTGAAAATCGTACCGTATTATCTGCTATTTGGGTGCGTTCATTGTAGTATGGAAAATTTTCTAAAAATTTCGTTTTATTTAGAGAAATACAGATTATTTGTCATTATTATTAAGGCAACAGAATTGGAGCTGTTGAACCAGATGCCCACTATACGCGCAGAAAACAACCAGCTGCACCACCCCTAGGTCAACAGATCATCGTGGCGTCAGAAGAGGAGAAACTAGCCGTAAAAGAATTTTACAAAGGGCAAAAACGGTACAGAAAGTTGGTCAAAAAAGGCATCGACGATGACGAGGGGTCTGCGTTTCTAAGCATGCGGTAAGGAGGCTTGTTTGTCGCACTACGACAAGATTAGTGTATAGTCTAACACTGCTTTATAAAAAAAATGATGTTTGATAATTTTGCTTTATCATAATCGTCTGGAAACTTACTCGATGAGTTTCTTAACAACGCCATTTCGTAGGAACAAGGAGCTGACAGAATATCAAAGCAGGCCAATTTTTAGTCAAGCAAAATCTCTCGTTGTCCCTCACAATTATCGTTACGTCTTCGATGCCACGGCCGGCAGAGCAATTTCCTGTTACGTGAAAGGCAATAAGGTTTGATTTTTACGTTCCAATTTATGCATTTGCCAGTTTTTTAATAGACTTTTTAATAGATGGTTCTACCGGAAGGCAGCCAAAGACGTAGCACGAAATTATATGATGAGGTCTATGTACCTGCTTCATCAGTGGTTCCAGCTGAAGCTGAGGTAGAGCGAATAAAAATAAAAGATCTAGATCAGGTGAAAGCAGCTATGATTTAGTTTTTAAGTGAATCGTTACTTAAAATTGCATTTTAGAACTTGCAAAAAGCCTTTTCAGACCTGAAGGACTTGAATGTTATTCAAAGCATCGTCTTCAGACAAGCTTATGAAACCAACGAGAACTTGTTAGTCTGCGCACCGACCGGCGCAGGAAAGACAATCACTGCTATTCTATGCATTTTGCGTGTATTGAAGAACTTTGCGCATAATACCGAAGTAGACAAGGCTAACTTTAAGGTAAGAACTTCAGCAGTGAATTGATATGTCGTGTTGGTACAGCGTACTCGCAGCTGGTGACAGTTTATTTAGGTGGTGTATGTTGCACCGATGAAGGCGCTTGCCGCTGAGATGGTACGAAGTATGGTATCACGCTTGAAAACTCTCGGACTGACGGTGAACGAGTGGACTGGTGATGTGCAGCTGTCACAAAAGCAGTCTGCTGAAACTCAGGTACGTTCCCTGATACAGCTTAGGTGTCGCTGTTAAGTATAGTGATAACCATTGGTTATAGGTGATTGTTACTACCCCGGAAAAGTGGGATGTTATCAGCCGCAAAACAAGCACTGACGATCCCCTAATGAATGCTGTTCGACTTGTCATATTTGATGAAATCCACTTGCTCAATGACACCCGTGGTGCCGTCATCGAGGCGATTGTCGCTCGAACATTACGACAGGTCACTATTTTGCAGTGGGTTCAAGGTTAAGATTTCTTAGGCGCAGCCACTTAACATTGCAAGTGGAACTCGAACTTGTGTTAAAGTTTGTGTCCATTTTAGAAGGCATGTATGAGGGAACCATGTCTGCTTGTAAAGTGGGAGGAACTTTATCGGACTGATTATCTCTTAAGATCGCAGAGAAATGCATTCTTGTGTAAAATATTGAAAAGCGTGGTCGATTTTTTCTTTCGAATGAGCGCTTGCTTCAGCAGAAATTAAGATTCCATTTAGAAGGGTGACAGTACTCAAGTTGTTCAATCAAATATCGTGCTTAACTTAAGTTTGCTGAAAATGTTATTGCCTGAATAGTGTAGAGAGGTGACTTCGCTGGCTCGGCTTTAGTATTCAGCATTGCAACAACGGCTAGTCTCTGTCTTAAGACCTAGGTGCCAAAATTATGAGGTATCCTTCCAACATAATAGATTCGCAAGCATGACAGAGCGGTGAAGCAGTAAAGCTGTTGTTTGTTTCAGTACCGCGGTTCTACCTTCAGCAGTGACAAATTAATGAATTAATGTTAAATAGAAAATCCGCCCGTGCTTCCAGTCGTTCTGCTAACCTCGTCAATATTACGCCTGATAAAGGGTTGTCTTTTATCTTTGATACCTGCATTTCCCCAAAAGATTAAGATCGGCGGTTAAGCAGCGTAAAACAGCGCTGACTTCGATGTCGAATGACTGGTAGATGACAAGTCTATGAAAAGAATGAC